CGTGGTGTGTCTCTCCAGGGGTGTGGGGGTGCATGGTGTGTCTCCAGGGGTGTGGGGGGTGCATGGTGTGTCTCTCCAGGGGTGTGGGGGTGCATGGTGTGTCTCTCCAGGGGTGTGGGGGTGCGTGGTGTGTCTCTCATGGTGTGTCTCCAGGGGTGTGGGGGTGCGTGGTGTGTCTCTCCAGGGGTGTGGGGGTGCATGGTGTGTCTCCAGGGGTGTGGGGGTGCATGGTGTGTCTCTCCAGGGGTGTGGGGGTGCATGGTGTGTCTCTCCAGGGGTGTGGGGGTGCATGGTGTGTCTCCAGGGGTGTGGGGGTGCATGGTGTGTCTCGAGGGGTGTGGGGGTGCGTGGTGTGTCTCTCCAGGGGTGTGGGGGTGCGTGGTGTGTCTCTCCAGGGGTGTGGGGGTGCGTGGTGTGTCTCTCCAGGGGTGTGGGGGTGCATGGTGTGTCTCTCCAGGGGTGTGGGGGTGCATGGTGTCTCTCTCCAGGGGTGTGGGGGTGCATGGTGTCTCTCCAGGGGTGTGGGGGTGCGTGGTGTGTGTCTCCAGGGGTGTGGGGGTGCATGGTGTGTCTCTCCAGGGGTGTGGGGGTGCATGGTGTGTCTCTCCAGGGGTGTGGGGTGCATGGTGTGTCTCTCAGGGGTGTGGGGGTGCGTGGTGTGTCTCTCCAGGGGTGTGGGGGTGCATGGTGTGTCTCTCCAGGGGTGTGGGGGTGCATGGTGTGTGTCTCCAGGGGTGTGGGGGTGCATGGTGTGTCTCTCCAGGGGTGTGGGGGTGCATGGTGTGTCTCTCCAGGGGTGTGGGGGTGCGTGGTGTGTCTCTCCAGGGGTGTGGGGGTGCGTGGTGTGTCTCTCCAGGGGTGTGGGGGTGCGTGGTGTGTCTCTCCAGGGGTGTGGGGGTGCATGGTGTGTGTCTCCAGGGGTGTGGGGGTGCATGGTGTGTCTCCAGGGGTGTGGGGGTGCATGGTGTGTCTCTCCAGGGGTGTGGGGGGTGCGTGGTGTGTCTCTCTAGGGGTGTGGGGGTGCGTGGTGTGTCTCTCCAGGGGTGTGGGGGTGCATGGTGTGTCTCTCAGGGGTGTGGGGGTGCATGGTGTGTCTCTCCAGGGGTGTGGGGGTGCATGGTGTGTCTCTCCAGGGATGTGGGGGTGCGTGGTGTGTCTTCAGGGGTGTGGGGGTGCGTGGTGTGTCTCTCCAGGGGTGTGGGGGTGCGTGGTGTGTCTCTCCAGGGGTGTGGGGGTGCGTGGTGTGTCTCTCCAGGGGTGTGGGGGTGCATGGTGTGTCTCCAGGGGTGTGGGGGTGCATGGTGTGTCTCTCCAGGGGTGTGGGGGTGCATGGTGTGTCTCCAGGGGTGTGGGGGTGCGTGGTGTGTCTCTCCAGGGGTGTGGGGGTGCATGGTGTGTCTCCAGGGGTGTGGGGGTGCATGGTGTGTCTCTCCAGGGGTGTGGGGGTGCATGGTGTGTCTCCAGGGGTGTGGGGGGTGCATGGTGTGTCTCTCCAGGGGTGTGGGGGTGCGTGGTGTGTCTCCAGGGGTGTGGGGGTGCGTGGTGTGTCTCTCCAGGGGTGTGGGGGTGCGTGGTGTGTTTCTCCAGGGGTGTGGGGGTGCATGGTGTGTCTCCAGGGGTGTGGGGGTGCGTGGTGTGTCTCTCCAGGGGTGTGGGGGTGCATGGTGTGTCTCTCCAGGGGTGTGGGGGTGCATGGTGTGTCTCTCAGGGGTGTGGGGGTGCATGGTGTGTCTCTCCAGGGGTGTGGGGGTGCATGGTGTGTCTCCAGGGGTGTGGGGGTGCATGGTGTGTCTCTCCAGTGTGGGGGTGCATGGTGTGTCTCCAGGGGTGTGGGGGTGCATGGTGTGTCTCTGTGGGGGTGCATGGTGTGTCTCCAGGGGTGTGGGGGTGCATGGTGTGTCTCTCCAGGGGTGTGGGGGTGCATGGTGTGTCTCTCAGGGGTGTGGGGGTGCATGGTGTGTCTCTCCAGGGGTGTGGGGGTGCATGGTGTGTCTCTCCAGGGGTGTGGTGGGGTGCATGGTGTGTCTCTCCAGGGGTGTGGGGGTGCATGGTGTGTCTCTCCAGGGGTGTGGGGGTGCATGGTGTGTCTCCAGGGGTGTGGGGGTGCATGGTGTGTCTCTCCAGGGGTGTGGGGGTGCATGGTGTGTCTCTCCAGGGGTGTGGGGGTGCATGGTGTGTCTCCAGGGGTGGGGGGTGCATGGTGTGTCTCTCCAGGGGTGTGGGGGTGCATGGTGTGTCTCTCCAGGGGTGTTGGGGTGCGTGGTGTGTCTCTCCAGGGGTGTGGGGGTGCATGGTGTGTCTCTCCAGGGGTGTGGGGGGGTGCATGGTGTGTCTCCAGGGGTGTGGGGGGTGCATGGTGTATCTCTCCAGGGGTGTGGGGGTGCATGGTGTGTCTCTCCAGGGGTGTGGGGGTGCATGGTGTGTCTCTCCAGGGGTGTGGGGGTGCATGGTGTGTCTCTCCAGGGGTGTGGGGGTGCATGGTGTGTCTCTCCAGGGGTGTGGGGGTGCATGGTGTGTCTCTCCAGGGGTGTGGGGGTGCATGGTGTGTCTCCCAGGGGTGTGGGGGTGCATGGTGTGTCTCTCCAGGGGTGTGGGGGTGCGTGGTGTGTCTCTCCAGGGGTGTGGGGGTGCGTGGTGTCTCTCTCCAGGGGTGTGGGGGTGCATGGTGTGTCTCTCCAGGGGTGTGGGGGTGCATGGTGTGTCTCCAGGGGTGTGGGGGTGAGTGGTGTGTCTCCAGGGGTGTGGGGGTGCATGGTGTGTCTCTCCAGGGGTGTGGGGGTGCATGGTGTGTCTCCAGGGGTGTGGGGGTGCGTGGTGTCTCTCTCCAGGGGTGTGGGGGTGCGTGGTGTGTCTCTCCAGGGGTGTGGGGGTGCATGGTGTGTCTCTCCAGGGGTGTGGGGGTGCGTGGTGTGTGTCTCCAGGGGTGTGGGGGTGCATAGACTTTCTCTCTAGGAAGATAAGCACGAAAACACTTTGTTAATATCTGCTTCGAAAAGATGTTTCTGATTATTTTTCGTCTAAATTTAATAATTATTATTTTTTAACTAAATTTTATGTGAAATATATATATATTTCTTTTTTAATTTATATATGTATGTATGTATATATGTATATATATCATACATGTATATGTATATGTATATGTATACATGTATATGTATCCTATACATGTATATGTATCCTATACATGTATATGTATCCTATATGTATCCTACATGTATATGTATGTATATGTATCATACATGTATATGTATCCTATACATGTATATGTATCCTATCATACATGTATATGTATCCTATATGTATCATATATGTATATGTATCCTATATGTATCCTATATGTATATGTATCCTATACATGTATATGTATCCTATATGTATATGTATATACATGTATATGTATCCTATATGTATATGTATCCTATATGTATCATATATATGTATCCTATATGTATATATATACATGTATATGTATCCTATACATGTATATGTATATATATATATATATATATATATATGTATATGTATATATATATCATACATGTATATGTATCATATATATGTACATGTATATGTATCATGTATATGTATACATGTATATGTATCCTATATGTATCATACATGTATATGTATATGTATGTATACATGTATATGTATCCTATATGTATATGTATATATATATATATATATATATATGTATATATATGTATATATATCCTATATGTTCTTTCGTCTGTGGTAAGTCAACAAACAAAATAACATGAATAATCACTGGCAAATGAAAAGTTACGCTAAGACAAGTAAGTTACAGTGATAGCAAAATAAAATATGAGTGCTGGAATACTGGCTTCGAGCTGCCACCTCCCTTAGTACACGAAAGCCAAGGCTTAGTCTACCAGCGAGAGATGCCAACTGCATGGAGCACTGAGATATTCTGACGAGACTGGCGCGCTGCAGCCCAGACGTCGACTTGTGGTGGTGGCGGAGGGCAGGGGCGACGAGACACCAGCCAATCAGCAACAGGCAGGCAGAGGATGAGCAGTTAGCTGGTTACGGCGGTGGCCAGGTGTTCTGGGTACGATTTGCTCTCTGGGCAAAACGTTTGGCGATACTTGGTGAACGTATCTTGTATTGTGACGTAATTATGTAGGGAAGAGCAGGCTCAATCTCTCTTGAAAGAGATTATCGTCACAATATATATATATATATATATATATATATATATATATATATATATATATATATATATATATATATATATAAAATGTATATATATATATTTATTTATTTATTTATATATATATATATATATATATATATATATATATATATATATATATATATATATATATATATATATATATATATATATATGTCGTACCTAGTAGCCAGAACGCACTTCTCAGCCTACTAAGCAAGGCCCGATTTGCCTAATAAGCCAAGTTTTTATGAATTAATTGTTTTTCGACTACCTAACCTACCTAACCTAACCTAACCTAACTTTTTCGGCCACCTAACCTAACCTAACCTATAAAGATAGGTTAGGTTAGGTAGGGTTGGTTAGGTTCGGTCATATATCTATGTTAATTTTAACTCCAACAAAAAAAAATTAACCTCATACATAATGAAATGGGTAGCTTTATCATTTCATAAGAAACAAAATTGAGAAAATATATTAATTCATGAAAACTTGGTTTATTAGGCAAATCGGGCCTTGCATAGTAGGCTGAGAAGTGCGTTTTTGCTACTAGGTACGACATATATATATATATATATATATATATATATATATATATATATATATATATATATATATATATATATATATATATATATATATATATATATATATATATATATATATATATAATTAAATATGACCGCATTGCTGGCATTGTTGGTCTTATAGTATAAACTTTCTATGCTTCTAACTATTGTCTTACTCTGGGGATTAAGAAGAACAATCAACTTGCCGAAACTCATGATAAAAAAACTAATGATTATTGAAGTGTATATTTTCTAGAACGTTTCGATCCAATCTTGAACACCTTCAGCTAGTGAATGAATACACACAGTGCAAATTTATCTCAAATACACATACGGAAGAGATGAAGTTGTGTAGGGTCAAGGGAAGTAATTACGCATAAGGGAAGTAATAGGGAGAATAATAGGGATAGTAATAGGGATGGAAGTCAATCAAACAATGGGTAAGGCAGTGGACAGGGAGAGCTGGGTAGAGCTGTTGTTATCTATCGTAAAGCTTTGGAAGCGTTAAGAGAGAAGGAAGAATTGAAACAGGAATTTCCTTAAGTACCTGTGAGTTATAATAGTGAATAGTTCTTTCGTCAACACGAAAGAACAAAAGTTTTATACAATTGTATACAACAGTTGAAAGTCTGAAGTGTCTTAATTCGTCAACTAGAAATTCAATGAGTATATGTTGTTTAAGATTCGCTACCTGGAACAAAGTTCCAAGTAGGACGGGCTATGGTGAGCCCGTAAATGAGCATATAACCAATTGCTCTACTTCAAAGTGTGTTTGGGGTGGTAGCTCCTTTCATTTAATCTTTCTAATCTTGCCATATATTGTGATATCTTCACTGTCAACGAATCTTTCACTTGCATGTTTATGCTTGGTGCTATTCATATGGGCGTGTATAGTATGGTAGGGGTTGTCAGTGGGCAGTAGGCTAATCTCTACCTTGTCGCAACGACACACGGCTAAAGTCCTCTTCGGCAAAAAAATATTTTTGTAGATGCCAGCAATCCAGGCAAATATGGCGTTCACTGGATCCTCACCTTCCAACATACTTAAGTGGAAGTTGTGAATATCGTCAGAGAGATGATGACCTAAATTTGGGACCAGTTGCTCGACGCTTCCAGTGTTAACTGTGACATTGCAAACACTACATTGCACAGTCAGTGGATTCCTTGAGATCACAGTGAAAGCAACATGTATCCCGGTTTCTGTATAGTGATGCTGTTGTAGGTCTCTTAAAACCTTTGCCTCGTAGGCTGGAGACCACATGACTTGCTTGCGCTGAGAGATTTGCAAGTTAGCTTGACCAGTCCCAGAGATTCGGGCACGATATTGGTTACTCTTTTCCCAGTTGGTACACTTTTGGCTAGGTTGTACAATTTGGGAACGAGACTGACTTTGCTGTGATATTTGGGCATTATTTTGGCCAGGTTGTAACATTTGGGATCGAGACTGACTTTGCTGTGATATTTGGGCATTATTTTGGCCAGGTTGTAACGTTTGGGAGCGTAATTGACTGTCCCTTTGGGTATCATTTTGCATGGGTCGTAACGTTTGGGAACGAAACTGACTTTGCTGTGAAAGTTGGGCATTATTTTGGCCGGGTTGTGGCATATGGGTACGAAGTTGACTGTACTGTGGTCGTAGAGTTTTATTTTGACTGAACTGCGATGTTTGGACAAAATTTTGAGAGGATGTGTCCAGGGCTTGGACACTGGCCCCGAGGGTTGAGGTTGATATTTGTGGATTATTTTGGCTAGGCTGTGTCGCACGGCCACCAAATTGCCTTTCGACAGAATTTTGCCTGGGTTGTGACGTTCGGTAAGGAAATTGCCTGTTCCTGTGGGTATTAATTCGCATGGCTCGTGACGTTTGGGAGTGACATTGACTCTGCTGTGATATTTGAGTGTTATGTTGACTGAGATGTGACATACGGGCACCATATTGCCTGTGCTGTGGATTTCGGGCCGTGTTTTGACTGAACTGCGATGTCTGGACATCATTTTGTGAGGATGTGGAAGCTTGGACACTGGCCGGGAGGCTTGGGGTTGAGGTGTGTGGGGTGAGAAAGGTGTCGTTGTTAATGGAGCCACCACTGGCTGTAGCTGGCTGTGGCTGGCTGGGCTGGCTGGGCTGGCTGGACTGGCTGGACTGGCTGAGTCTGGCTGGGCTGCCTGAGGCTGGCGGGGTGTCCAGCAGTAACTCCTCTGAAACATAAACAGGTTCCTGTGAATTCATTTTTATGAGCTGCGACAAATGTAAAGAAATTACCATTAGATTATTGACCTATAGTTTAATTGTTTGTAATAATCTTGTCATTGCATATGAATCTAAGAACATGGGGTATTTTTTATGCTTTTCCTCTATTCTTAATTAACATGAAGCACTCATCTTCATCCCACATATCAACCCGTGGTTTTTTCATTGTGAACAATTAATACTATTTTCATACATTTGCTGTAATAACACTTTTTCTATTTTAAGTACTTTCAAAGCCTTTCATTAGCAAATATACCTTAAAAAATTTGAACTATTTGATCGAATTCGTTTGCAATTACAATATATTAGTGTTACCCCTATTACACGTACACATAATATACCTATTTGTTATTACGACCCCAACCGCACATCAGAAAGTGAAGAACGACAACGTTTCGGACCGTTTCGGACCGTCCCGGACCGTTATCGAGTCCGTTACTACTCGTCGCCGTTTCTACACATCTGGTGACGTGTGGTTGGGTCGTGGTGTCTTCAGCCCCGGTATTGTGACTTGTCGTCTCCACCTGTTTGTGTCCACCTGTTTGTGTCCACCTGTTTGTGTCCACCTGTTTGTCTCCACCTGTTTGTGTCCACCTGTTTGTTTAGTTATGCCCGGAATGAGCCGTGTGGCTTTATATAATTACCCATGTGTACTTATGAGTACTCCACTGTATCATGTATACCTGTGAGTACTCCACTGTATCATGTATACCTGTGAGTACTCCACTGTATCATGTATACCTGTGAGTACTCCACTGTATCATGTATACCTGTGAGTACTCCACTGTATCATGTATACCAACGAATACTCCACTGTATCATGTGTACCTATGAATACTCCACTGTATCATGTGTACCTATGAATACTCCACTGTATCATGTGTACCTATGAATACTCCACTGTATCCTCCTTTAAATGTACTTAGTATACAAAAAAATATTATTTACAAATTTGTTAAGTAACTGATAGTGACAAAGAAATGGTTGGTATTTTTTATAAGTACTTTGTCTCTATGCTAGAAAATAACTTTGTATCATGTGTAGAGCCGGGCATGGCTATGTAGGTGGTGAAGAGGACAAGTAGACTAGTTCAGGTGTATCATGTGTAGAGCCGGGCATGGCTATGTGGGTGGTGAAGAGGACAAGTAGACTAGTTCAGGTGTATCATGTGTAGAGCCGGGCATGGCTATGTGGGTGGTGAAGAGGACAAGTAGACTAGTTCAGGGTTTACCCGGGAGGAAGTTATTCAATTTTATATCAATTTAAGTCCACAAATTAAGTCAACAGGAGCAGACAAATAATTTGCCAGGGTGTTTAAAGAATGTATAAAGGAGCTTAGTGAGCCTCTTTTTTTTTTCTTGCATATTTAATGAATCATTGAGAGTGGAGCCGGAGTCATGGAGGGCTGCTAATGTGGTGCCGGTTTTTAAAGAGGAAGAGATGACTTGTATTGAACTATTGACCAATTAAGTCAATATTATAACGTTTATAATAGGAAAATTGCTTCAATCATTAATCACCAAATGCAGGCGATGAGTCACAATAACGTGGCTGAAGTATGTTGACCAGACCACACACTAGAAGTTGAAGGGACGACGTTTTGGTCCGTCCTGGACCATTCTCAAGACAATCGACTTGAGAATGGTCCAGGACGGACCGAAACGTCGTCGTCCCTTCAACTTCTAGTGTGTGGTCTGGTCAACATTAATCACAAAAGATTTACATTTTGAAAGACAAACTAATAATAAATTCAACACACAATTTGACTAAAAGCAACTAATATTTGACAATTTCATTCTCATTCTTATCCAATGTGTTGAAGGAAATCAATATCAGATTGGATTGCATCATCCTTATCTTGAGTTTAACAAAGCCTTGGATGCTGTGCCTCAGCAGATATTCATTAAGCAGTTAAGAGGCACATGGTATTAAGGGTAGGTAATCCAAAATTATATTAGTGGGATAGTTACTTCAAATAAAGCCAAGATTTAGTATAAATGGTTGTTAAGTCAGAGTGGGAAACTGTTGTTAGTGGAGTATTGAGCAGTGTTGCACACGAGTATTGAGCAGTGTTGCACACGAGTATTGAGCAGTGTTGCACACGAGTATTGAGCAGTGTTGCACACGAGTATTGAGCAGTGTTGCACACGAGTATTGAGCAGTGTTGCACACGAGTATTGAGCAGTGTTGCACACGAGTATTGAGCAGTGTTGCACACGAGTATTGAGCAGTGTTGCACACGAGTATTGAGCAGTGTTGCACACGAGTATTGAGCAGTGTTGCACACGAGTATTGAGCAGTGTTGCACACGAGGAGTCACAATAACGTGGCTGAAATGTTGACCAAACCACACACTAGAAAATGAAGGGACGACGACGTTTCGGTCCGTCCTGGACCATTCTCAAGTCGTTTGTGATGATTGAATGTTGTTATAGATTCAGCTACTCGGAACAAGTTCCAGGTAGCACGGGTTATAGTGAGCCCGTAGTGGACTTACCTGGCACAGGAGCGGTGCTGTCCCCGGGGATGATGATTGAATGTTGTTAAATGTTGTTAAAGATTTAGCTACTCAGGACGAAGTGTCCATGTAGCACGGGCTATGGTGAGCCCATAATTGAGTTTGGTTATACATGATAACCTTTTTCCTGTGATATTTGGGTCTAAGTTTAAAATGGAGGAGAGGACTTCTCCTTTTTCCCTGCTTATTTGTCGCTTCTGTTTTAGTGCACTGGTTTTAATCTTGTTTTATTAACATTATCTTGGTGGCGGATGTAGATGCAGAATGCTCACTAATGAGTCCCATTCCTCGACAGCTTTTCTAATCATTGTAGTCGCGGTGGAATGTGCATCTAATGCAGCTGCTGTCGTTGGATTAATGTTGAGTTTGATGTGCAGGGGTTTGATGATTGATTGATAAAGATTAAGCCACCCAAGAGGTGGCACGGGCATGAATAGCCCGTAAGTGGTACAATTTTTTTTTCCCCAGTATTCTGAGTTTGCATTTAACCATCAAGCTGTTATCGCGGAGGATACTGCTTCAGTCTTTATGAGGGTGTCCAGCTTGATGATTGATTGATTGATTGATAAAGATTAAGCCACCCAAGAGGTGGCACGGGCATGAATAGCCCGTAAGTGGTACATTTTTTTTTCTCAGTATTCTGAGGTTGCATTTAACCATCAAGGTGTTATCGCGGGGGAGGATACTGCTTCACAGTCTTTATGAGGGTGTCCAGCTGCTGGACACCTTTGTTGACCAGGAGAGTGGCTGTGTTGATGGCTTCAGGGTGGCCACTGCATGATTCAGGAACTCTTAAAGCTCTTCTAAGGTCATTGGTTGCTTCACATTCCAGAAGATAGTGAAGTAATGGCTTTTTGATGATTGAAGGAGGCGAGGCAATAAATAGGCAAGAGAGAGACAGGTGAGGATAAGAAAATGCAAAAAAAAAATAGAAAACCATTATATAGCCTTACCGTTTAGTAGCACACCACACATGTTGCAGTGCCTATAATTCCACGGTAGTTCCTCGCTGCACGACCAGCACCTGACGTACAAACCTCGACCACAATCGCTGCAGAATTTGGCCTTATCTGCCACGAGTCTGCGACACTGACACCTTATCTGCGAATGTGTGAACTCTTATCAGTAGAGATTAATGTTTGGTATGTCATTACGTTTACCTGGGCTCTAGCAGACTCGAACCGCGGACCCCACGTGTGTGTGTGTGTGTGTGAGGCCGAAGCTCTGTAGAGCGAAGGGAAAGAAATGATCAGGGGAAAGCGCCAGGCCATTACGACTATAGCACTGGGAAAGGATCAGGATAAGGATTTGGGATGGGACAGGGGTGAGGAGGGGGGGGGAGGAATTGTGCCCGACCACTTGTGGACGGTCGGGGATTGAACGTCGACCTGCATGAAGCGAGACCGTCGCTCTACCAAGCTAATGAGTAGTCTTAATAATGTTAGGTACGCCCTATGCGTCTGCATCTGAAGATATCTCAAGATAACGGCTGTGAGGAGAGTATCGGCAAATATTCTAGATATCTAGATATCAGAGCGTGGAAAATATCTGTGGCTGTGACACCTGTTGTCTCCAGCCACACCTGTAATGATTTGTATCAATCACTGATAAAGCTTCTAAATCGAACTCTTAAATCTAGATTATACAGTATATAATTATAATGATTCTTAAGCTTCTTTTTTCTCATGTGTCACTTGCTGCTACGCGTTCCAAATGCCAGGGATTTACTGTCTTACAAACCAAAGTGTTTTAAAACTTGGTTGAGATGTGATATATAATAATTAAGAGCCCTCAGGTCACATGAGAGGTCAGGACCTCTCCGTAGGGTGCAGTCGCACCTCCACAGATCTCCAGTATCATGATACTGGTAATGGCTCCAAAGGGCCTCCACTTACGGGCTATTCATGCCCGTGCCACCTTTTAGGTGGCTTAATCTTCATCAGTCAATCAGACCACATCAGGCACAAGACTCGTACATCACAGGTTCCAGTAATGACATCACCTCCTCCTCTTCTCAATACACTCAATTCGAACCCTTGTCACGGCCCTTGTGGATTTGTTCATTTGATGCATCACGCATTGTGATTTCTGTGTGTAGTGTAGTGTACACTGTTGTATTTTAAAATATATATGATTCTCAGATACAGCTCATAATACACCAGCTGTTGCTTCACAAAGGTCGTTCCTACCTCTCTGGTTTTGGGTGTATTCTGACGATGTATTTTTATGCTTGAAGTTTTGCTATTCAGTGTCTCTCATTCCCAGTATTTTTGGATTGCAATACAGTTCTTATATTTTTATTTCTCACCTGTTCGCATCATTTTGTTACTTTTTTCATTAACTTTGGATTAGATCTTGGATTAATTCTTGATTAATTGATCTTGGATTAATTATGGGATTGCACAAAATTATAAGCTGCCTTACGGATGAAACTGAAAAACATTTAAAGCATGTAAAATATTATTACAAAAAAAAATCTATATATACTTGAAAAAAAATAATTTCATAATAAATAAATTGTACTTTTGCGATATCAGTTTTTGTCTGGCAGAATTAACAGAAAATGATATGATATATTAAGAGGAGTATCAAAAATGGTCTAAAACGTGTTTGTACTCACCTATTTGTGCTTGCTGGGGTTGAGCTCTGGCTCTTTGGTCCCGCCTCTCAACCGTCAATCAACAGGGTGTTGCATTAATAAGGTTGTCTTATTAATGAATAATAAGAGCCCCTTTTATTCCAACTGACATTATCATCAGTTGTATCATGATGATACATGATATGACATGATCAGAATGATCATGTCATATACTCAAAATTTCTCCCAATATATTATTTGTATGTGCTCAGGTTTATTTTCTTAGATAATAACCAGATAAATATAAAATCTTGAATAATTATAAAGATATAAATCACAACATAATTATCATAAGTTTATATATAGATAGACGTCAATTGGTATATATGTTCTCATCTTTGGGTTAAAAGAATGAGAAATTGTGTGAGGAGGAAATGTGTATATGATCTTAAATATAAACATTTACAAATTAGGATATCATTGTCATTACTGATGTTAAAACAGCCTTATCTTGAGAGGTTATCTTGAGATGATTTCGGGGCTTAGTGTCTCCGCGGCCCGGTCCTCGACCAGGCCTCAATTTTTGGTACATATCCCCAGGAAGCAGCCCGTAGCAGCTGTCTAACTCCCAGGTACCTATTTACTGCTAGGTGAACAAGGCATCAGGGTGAAAGAAACTCTGCCCATTTGTTTCCACCTCCACCGGGGATCGAACCCGGAACCTCAGGACTACGAACCCGATGCGCTGTTCACTCAGCTGTCAGGCCCCTTAGAAGGGGTCTTATCAACCTTTAATAAACTTTCAAACTATATTAAATTATATCAACAATTTAATTATGCAAATTATGCAATGCAATGCAAATTATATCCACAAACCTTGATCAGTGCAGAAGCATCGCGAATGTGTTCTTTAACCTGCGTATGCAGACGCAGATTCTCTTTTTCAGTTTCGATCATCTCTGCCCGCGCAGACTTGGTAGATCTGTCTGCCGTAGTGATTGGCTGTGTACCTTGTGATGCAGGGGGTGTACGAATCACCGCTGACCTAACACTGTTGCTCTCTTGCAATGGTAACACGTGTACGTGTTCTTCAAGAGCTGTATTAGATAGCAGTATGTCGAACACTAAGACCGTTTGCTTCTCCAGCCACGGTATACAAGTCAAGACGGAGCCTGCAGTCTGCTCCTTGGCGCTACCCAGCAGGAGAAGTTTGATACTTGAAATACACATGTCTAGTTGGCAGTCATTTTTGGGTCCTGTGAGCCATCTTACCCAGCCAGTGCTCACACTTATCCTGTGCTGATGCTTGAGATCTTCAAGGAGGTGGAGAAGACTTCTTCTGATGTCCTTACTTGACACGTTCTTCAGGATTAAGTAATAGTTGTGGTTTTGGCTCGAGCTCTCCTCTGTGATTCCAAGCGTTAACTTTGGGCTCCAGTTTCTTAAGAATTCTGTACTTATGTCGATACTTGTGGACCACTGGGAGAGCTCTGCTACGATCCTCTCCAGTGGGTCGAGCAGCATCAGTTGGAATATATACCACCGGCCATGAATTTCGTTCTCCTGTTTCCAGGGAATGATATCTTGTGTCGACAATAACCACAATGTGTCAGGTGAGGCCTCTTTCTTGACAGTTTGGGCAGAGAATGTTTGGGGCGTGGAAGTGGTGTCATTAACTCTCTGGTAGTCTGTGGCAGACGATGAGGCACCATTGGCCGAAGAGCCTGTGTGGAAAATAAAATCTGGGTAACAATTAAATTGTTTGTTTAATTATTAAGGTAAAGCGGTCAGTTTAAAGAGGCAAAATAAAAAAATATCAAGTTTACTCACGTTGGTCGTAAGACTGGAAGAGGTCGGGTGATAGTGAGAAAGGCTCATCATGTTCTGTGTCATGATCAGGTGGTTCTGTCTTGATGACATTCTTCTGCTCATGTTCACCGTCCATTTGATCTACTGATTGGTTAACGTGTTCTGATCGTGTAGAACAGATCTGTTGAGGTGCTGGGCGTGCTACCACTTCGTCCTCAATGCTGCATAGCAACAATTCATCTTCTGTCAAGGCTAGAGAAACATTTAAAAATATAGTTTCTGAGGTCTCTGCCCATGGTATCTTAGTGGGTCTTACTGAGGACCTAATTTGGTCGTTACCTTCTCCAAGGAGCAGTACTGCCAGTCTCGTCTTGGTCAAGTTGAACTGCAAGTCTTCGTTCTCTCCCGTCAGCCATCTTAACCAACCAGTGGTAATTTCTACCTTGAACTCTGTCTGCAAGTCTTGAAGAAGTCTAAGAAAACTTTCTCTAGGAGCTTTGTGTGACACGTTCTTCAATGCCAGATAAGAGAAGTTGCCCTTGTTTGTGCTTTGTAGTGTAGTCCCCAGCACTAAGTTTGGGTACCAATTCTTCAAGGAATCTTCACTAAGGTCGACATTATAACACCACTGGGAGAGTTTTGCCTTGATTGGCTGCAGGCGGGTGTGGATCCTCATCTCTATCACATACCACCGGCCGTGTATTTGGCGTCCAGTGCTGCTCTGAGGTACTGGATCCTCTGTCCAGGCTGACCACATGATAGTGGGAGAGGTCCATGTTTGGGAACATTGGAGGGTTGAGCTTGTGGTGCCAGCGGCTGCGTCAACAGCGTCCCTTGAATGAGAAGACACTGTATCAGAATCTTCCCCTCAGAAAATACAATATATTAATGTAGCTTACATTAAACCTTAGACTGGGGGGACAAAAAAATAACAAGTTATGCTCGTATATCCCTGAAATTAGAAAGTAACATGTGGGAGGCTCACATCGAAACACTTGTAGTGGGAACATAATTCTTTTGACCATGTCGTGACGCAGTCAACTAAGGCAGCGTCTGGCATCATCCCGTGCGTAAGTTCGAATCCTCATCACGGCCCTTGTGGATTTGTTCACTTGTAGTAGGAAAAATACAATGTTTTAATTAAAAACCGTATGCTTGAATTAAGTTATATGGTCTAAAACAATTTGGTTTATAACATGAGTTTGCATACGTGGTGTAGTGGTAAGACACTCGTCTGGCGTTCCGCGAGCGCTTTGTCATTGGTTCGTATCCTGGCCGGGGAGGATTTACTGGGCGCAAATCCTTAACTGTAGCCTCTGTTTAACGCAACAGTAAAATGTGTACTTGGTTGTAACAACGATTCTTCGCGGCAGGGGGTCGTATTCCAGGGACCTGCCCGAAACGCTACGCGTACTAGTGGCTGTACAAGAATGTAACAACTCTTGTATATATCTAAAAAAAGTAGTTGCTTTTAAATCATTCCTTATAACAATAAAGTGATATAATGTGTAGTGGTCAAGGGGGCCGCGGAAACACCGCGCCGGGGAATATATTCAAGGGAAAACGATATTTAGGAATGTTGCGCGGTGTTAAAAATTTCCAGGGAAAAATAATTTTCCTGGCGAAATTGGGAGCTTTGGACAAGAGGCGCTGTGAATTGTTTGAAAGTTTGTGAGGAATGACCTTTGTGAAGTGGTGCAAATAAGTTGACTTTGAAGTGTGTGTGTAAAGAAGAGGTTTGTTTAAAGTCATTTTTTTTTTACGTGGGTTTGACATTTGGCATCAAATGCTGGCAGTAAATGTTTAATGGTATGGCAGCTCGTTCTCTTGATTTGCCAGAACGTACAAAATGTGGTGGTATAAAGCCGCACCAACCCAAGTCACCTACCTAACCTAACCACCCGATGCACACAAAAGTGGATATTTGTGAGCAGCTACGTTTATAGTACCCCTTATTGTGTACGTTGGGGACCATAACCGACAAAATAGGGAGCATTAGTCAGACGGGTTGGCTCCCTCTGAAGGCTTACGTGACCAAATAAGCCTAAATAAGCCTCTGTCTGGCGCATTAAGTATTATTCGCCTATTAACTGCTACGTGAACAGAGTGACCAAGTGAGAGGAAACTTGTCTAGTTGTGTCCATTCTGTCCGGGGATCGAATCTGGAGGTTCCTTGGTTGTGAGTTGATGTTGACATCAACCATCAACCAGGTACCACTGCGCCACAGAACCTATTAAATGTACAGGGGTCACTTGGGTGAATCAGCTATGCCACCTGGACTGATCTATCATCCACCGCCTCTCAGACCCGCCTCTCAAGGGACGAAACGACCTATCGCTCAATCGTACACGAGTTAGAAGTCTCCCATACACCCTTAAAATGTACCTACCTAATAGTGTATAATTAAGTTTTCATTCCTAAGTCTTTAATTATAATATTTTTTAATACTGAAAAATATTAATTTTTCAAATTACTGCTACTTACGTTGCATTTTCTCCCACTGATAAGTCAGAAAATGTAATGTAAAATTAATTTAAGGAACAACTGTACAAATTTCAAGTTTAGATCTGTATTATAATTCAGTTTATTTGAAATTCTGTATAACCAAGTTTATAAATTTTGCTTTTCAATCTTTACTCTATTTTTAACCTTTAAAAAGAAACGACGTATAAAATTAAGATTTACACAGTTGTTGATTATTGCAGTAATGTGCACACAGGCTACACCACGATGGTCCAGATACACTAGTCCGTCCTCTTGAGTTGCCACGAGAGACAGAAAATGGTGCACTAAAACTTGCGAACCTAACCTAATGGTGCAGTAATGGTGTATTAAAACATGCGAACCTAACCTAATGGTGCAGTAATGGTGTATTAAAACATGCGAACCTAACCTAATGGTGCAGTAATGGTGTATTAAAAACATGCAAACCTAACCTAATGGTGCAGTAATGGTGTATTAAAAACATGCAAACCTAACCTAATGGTGCAGTAATGGTGTATTAAAAACACGCAAACCTAACCTAATGGTGCAGTAATGGTGTATTAAAACATGCGAACCTAACCTAATGGTGCAGTAATGGTGTATTAAAAACATGCAAACCTAACCTAATGGTGCAGTAATGGTGTATTAAAAACATGCAAACCTAACCTAATGGTGCAGTAATGGTGTATTAAAAACACGCAAACCTAACCTAATGGTGCAGTAATGGTGTATTAAAACATGCAAACCTAACCTAATGGTGCAGTAATGGTGTATTAAAACATGCAAACCTAACCTAATGGTGCAGTAATGGTGTATTAAAAACACGCAAACCTAACCTAATGGTGCAGTAATGGTGTATTAAAACTTGCAAACCTAACCTAATGGTGCACTAAAACTTGCGAACCTAAAATAATGGTGCAGTAATGGTGTATTAAAACATGCAAACCTAACCTAATGGTGTATTAAAACTTGCGAACCTAACCTAACTTAGTGATTAGGTTAGGTTTTGTTAGTTTAGATCTCGTTAGGTTTTGTTAGATTAGGTTGTGTTAGGTTAGGTTTCAATTGGCTATAAAGTTCAACCCAAGTAAATGTAAGTTAATAAAACTAGGCAGTGGAAACAGGAGGGCAGTCACAGGATACCGAATGGGAGATAAAGTACTGCATGAAACGGACAAAGAGAAAAATCTAGGAGTTGATATCACGCCAAACCTGTCTCCTGAAGCCTACATCAAAAGAGCATCAGCGGCGTATGCAAGGCTAGCTAACATCAGGACTGCTTTCAAGAACATGTGTAAGGAATCCTTCAGAATCTTGTATACCACATATGTAAGACCAATCCTGGAGTATGCAGTCCCAGCATGGAGCTCGTACCTAGTCAAGCACTAGATGAAGTTGGAAAAAGTTCAGAGGTATGCCACTAGACTAATCTTAGAACTAAGAGGTATGAGTTACGCGGAAAGGCTGTGTGATATGCACCTCACGTCGCTGGAAGACAGGAGAGCTCGGGGAGACATGATCACTACCTACAAAATTCTCAGAGGAATTGACAGGGTAGATAAAGATAAACTGTTTAACACTGGTGGTACGCGAACAAGGGGACACAGGTGGAGACTGAGTACCCACATGAGTCACAGGGACGTTAGAAAGAACTTTTTCAGTGTCAGTAGTTAACAGATGGAATGCATTAGGCAGTGATGTGGTGGAGGCTGACTCCATACACAGTTTCAAATGTAGATATGATAGAGCCCGCCCTGCAAACACAAACCGTAACTGTCTATTTTCCGCTTGTTACAACTTGTAATAAAGTTGTTACATCTTGGCTTAACGTGTTTATGACGTATTAGAACGTTGTTACAACTTGCTATATTGGTTGTTATAACTGGTTAGGAGGTGTTAAAACTTGTTCGAACGTTTTACCAACGTCGCAGTTTCGGTGTGTGTTTGGCGGGTAGTAGGCTCAGAAACCTGTACTTCAGTTGATTGACGGTTAAGAGGCGGGACCAAAGAGCCAGAGCTCAACCCCCGCAAACACAACTAGGTGAGTACCTCGTACACGAGACGGTTCGGCTCGACTTTGAAATCTACGACTCTTAACAGAGACTAGCCTAGGTTAACAGCGCCTAACATTGGTTAACACAGCATAACCTAGGCTAACATGCAAAGCCTAACCTAGGCTGACGATATAAATGGTTTTGACAGAAAATAAACTTTATCGAAACAGTTGTACAGGATCAGACCGTACCTGGCTGTTTCTTGTGGATGGCGTCTGATTGACAATATTAACATCAGTGTCTTACCTTATATATGTTAAACTAGAACAAACATCCAGCTGGTATTACTTGAGAACAGGGCAGGAGCTTACATGCAGTTGGTAGGTCAACGTCCAATGCGTGAATGTCTAAAAATGTCGAGATAGGACCATTTGTCGTGTCCAAATATCACAGGGCAACCGTCAACTTGTCGACGCCTGAACTAGAAGCTGTACTAACCAAGCAAGGACGCCCCGCCCACCTGCGCCTGCGTCACAACTGCCGCTCGCTACAAGGCGCCGAAGCATCCAGCACTGAAGATGTCATTAACGTATAAATAATCCATTTTTGCGAGCAATGAGTGTGACTTCGCGCGTATTTGCTGTCCATGGGCACGATTAAGGCCCATAAAGGCTGCGGAAATTCTTTAGAGTGAGGTCTCTTAGGCTACGATTATGTTGCATCGTAAGTTGATGTTGCCAGTGCTCGATGTACTCATCACTTTTCCCTGTGGGCTGTTTTATTAATATTATTGTTACTAGCAAGCTTGGCTACGCAGAACTGTGCGGCTACACTAGTCTAATAATACGAAAAGGTAAAGAGTTTAGATCAAAACAAATTTATAGTTAGGCTCGGCTGCTCTCAAAACATCCGCGCACACATACATACACAAACACTCAGTTTGTTTTCTTTCTTTCATTCTAAGTTGCCTAAATTGTCAGATTGTTAATGTTTCAATTATATCTGCGGTACAGCATCTGTGCACAAGAGTCTGAAACCTTTCGCTGTATCAGTTACATATAACTGATACTCTAGGATTTCTTACTGCATTTCGCAAGTTGGGGTTTCAAATGTTTCACGAGCCGACTTTGAAATTAAATATTGAACTTTGTGGGGTTTTTTTTTATATAGTATACCAGGACGGATATCCGGCGGTGCCCGGGTCTAGTATATTACCCTATTCCACTCCTCGAACTTAAAAATATTTCCATTTATATATATATATATACACACATACACAGAAGGGATCCCCGGCTGCACTTGGGTCTCTTTCCACCCTTTCCCTTGCTTCCCCACTCTTCACCCCTACTTGACCCCCTTATACCCATCCCCTAGGCCTCCCCCTTCCCTCTCTGATTCCTTCCCCCCCCCTCTTCCCTCATTCTGCCCCCTGTCTCAAAATTTATTATTAAGAAGCACTGAAATACATTTGCACATGCATATTACTCAGGAAATATATTACCGCGTATACTAAAAACTCTAGGGAAAACACGCCATATATTTCACACCATTGGGGGGTCTCAATGACTGTTAATATTTCTTTAAGCTTAGGCTACCTCCGGGTATGCCTATGTCCATACTCCTGTAGCCCAGACTAGCGCCTCCCTGCAAGTTTGGGTGAGGTTAGCCCCAAGCGTCTGGTCCTCTTAACAGACAGACAGACAGACAGACAGACAGACAGACAGACACACACAAACAGCACAAGGAGACAGACATTATCTATTACAGTATCGATTAATAGTTATAGTGCAACTGGAAAACGTATTCCGATTTTCAATGAAATATGAGTAACCTCTTTTTAGAATGTGACGTGGTATATGCAGGTGTGATATAAGCAGGTGTGGTATACGCTGGTGTGGAATACGCTGGTGTGGAATACGCAGGTGTGGAATACGCTGGTGTGGAATACGCAGGTGTGGTAAACGCAGGTGTGGTATATATCATAAATAGATATACATACAGTACAGATATTCACTTTCCTGTGACTGGTATCATTTCCGGTTCACTTCACATACAGGCTGCCGCATGTCAGTCAGTTGCCAACATTTGCTACTCTCTCAACTCACCATTATTTTATTTTTTTTTAACAACGTTTACGTAACAACGAGCGTGTCGAGAGGTCTCTGGCTCTTCATGCGGCTTGGTGTCTTATTTTGTTAATTAGTTCAAGTTCAAGTATGTTTATTGAGACAAGAAAAAAATATATTACAAAGGGATAGAGTAGCTTAGGCTATTTCTACCTCCCTGTTAATTAGTTATGCCTCGCCTACAAGCCTTGTTGTACCTGTTGTGTTATAATTTAACTGTTTATACCAACACATATTTGTATAGACTTTAGTTTTCATGTTTTTTTTATTATTAACTTTACAATTCAATTACAATTCTTTACCATTTACAATACAATGGACCATTTACAGAATAGTATGAAAAGTAGTGGCTCACTGATATCCACGTTTTCTATGCTGGGTTAAGTTCGGTTAAGTGGGTGGCTTGGGTTCGTCCGTTTCGGGTTAGTTTAGCAGGATGTATTTTGTACGTTGTGGCGACTCAAGAGAACGGGATACACTTAACACTCGCTAAAGCAAATAACATTAGTTGCTTGAGTTAATACTTGAGTTCAAGTGCACTCGCTTTGTCATATAGTTTGTAAGACTTCGCGTATAAAGGAGATTTGTCATTAATGATATACTCAAATATTTTATACACTTAAAGATCAATATATTACATATACCTCGGCAAGGAGGAACGACTGGGTACCAGTCCTTCACCCGGCAGCTATTGTGCACCAGAACCCGGATTCACGAAGCAGTTATGCAAGCACTTACGAACCTGTACATCTTTTCTCAATCTTTGGCGGCTTTGTTTACAATTATTAAACAGTTAATGAGCTCCGAAGCACCAGGAGGCTGTTTATAACAATAACAACAGTTGATTGGGAAGTTTTAATGCTTGTAAACTGTTTAATATATGTAACCAAAGCCGTCAAAGATTGAGGAAAGATGTACACGTTCGTAAGTACTTGCGTAACTGCTTCGTGAATCTGGCACCTGGTTGCAACTCACAACTGTTAGGTCAGGTAGTTATGTGTTGTAATAGGGTAGTTATGTGTTGTAATATTAACGGAAACATAATATTTTACACACATTATGTACACATTAGTTTAATGTTGTAAGTCGTCCTTTGTGGTGGCGATGGGCTTAATGCCTATTAGCCTTTGGAGGGTTGTACCTGGTAGCCTGGTTGATCAGTCCAGCAACCAGGAGGCTTGGTCGACGACCGGGCCGCGGGGACGCTAAGCCCCGGAAGCACCTCAAGGTTAATAAGGCCACTACAGGTGCTGACTGACCAACCAGCAAGTATACTCTAGTCCTGTACATTGTCCAGGACTATAGTAGCAGGCCACTACAGGTGCTGACTGACCAACCAGCAAGTATACTCTGGTCCTGTACATTGTCCAGGACTATAGTAGCAGGCTGTTGCCCCCTTAATAACTGCAGAGTTAAGCACAACTCTGCCATGTTAAAGAGTGTCGTTAACATCGCGTAGTCGCTTAAGGGGATACTTGCTTAATCCTTCTTGGCTTCTTAATCTTGAAATAATTTGTGATAACTTTACTCTCAACGAATTTTTTACTCGCGGTTTTATGCTTAGTGCTATTGATATGGGCGTGTATGGTATGGTAGGGGTTGTCAGCGGGCAGGAGGCTAATCTCTACCTTATCGCAACGACACACGGCAAAAGTCCTCTTCAGCACAAATTTATTTTTGTAGATGCCATCAATCCAGGCAAATATGGCGTTCACTGGATCCCCATGTTTCAGCGCCCCGAGGTTGGCAGCGTGACTGTCGGCGAACATGTGGCAACGTAAATTTTGGAATTGCTGCATGTTGCTTCCCGTGGGAAATGTTGTATTGCAAACACTACATTGCACAGTCAGTGGATTCCTTGAAGTCACGGTGAAAGCTACATGTTGTCCGGTGTCCGTATAGTGATGCTGTTGGAGATCTCTTATAATCTTCGCCTCGCTGCTTGAAGGACAAAAGTCTGACTGCACTGGAACGTTTATGTCGGTGTGCACAGCATTATGCTGTGTACTTGAGCAGCTCAGTGCAGCCGCGATGTGAATCGCACCACTTTGATCGGTCTGAGAGAATTGGAGGCCAGGTTTATCGGTCTTGGAGATTAGCGTACGATTTAGGGTATAATTTTGGCTAGGAGGTGGTACAGAGCCAAGCAATTGCCTGTGCTGTGAACTGCCGCTAGTATTGTGACTGAACTGCGGTGTTTGGACATCATTTTGAGAGGATGTGGAAGCTTGGACACTGGCCGGGAGTGTTGGGGTTGAGGTGTGTGGGGTGAGAAAGGTGTCGTTGTTGATGGAGCGACCTTTGGCTGGGCTGGCTGGGGGAGTGACAAAGGTGTACTGGCTGACGGAGCGACCACTGGCTGGGCTGGCTGAGGCTGGTGGCTGGGCTGGAGGAGTGACAAACGTGTACTGGCTGAAGGAGCGACCACTGGCTGTGGCTGGCGGGGTGAGCAGCGGCGGCTCATCTGAAACATAACCAGGTCACAGTGAAGGTTGTATGCATTAGCATTTTCATGTGCAAGACCGAATCAAAATAGCTTAAAAAAAGCGTCATTCTGTTATCAATTTGTAGTCTAATTGAACTGATATTCATGTTATAGCAGCAGCATTACAATATAATTATTAGATAGACGTTTAGTTGTAAATATATTGACACCTTATGAATCATTGGTCTCCTCCTCTGACCCACTGATTGGCCCACTGGTCCTCTGGCCCACTGGTCCTCTGGCCCACTGGCCCGTTGGCCTATTGGTCCTCTGGCCCACTGGTCCTCTGGCCCGTTGGCCTATTGGTTCTCTGGCCCACTGGCCCACAGGTCATAAATTTCATCAAATTTTTGGGGCTAATCACTATATATATAGCATTAGGAATACAGATATTGACTAACCTGTGATATTTCTAACCACGCCACACCCGTAGTGCTGATAATTCGAACGTAGTTCCTCACTACAGGAGCTCTTGGTTAACAAGCACTTGCTACAGTCCTGGCTGGAGCTTGCCTTATCAGGCACGCCTACTGGGCTGCTACACTTACACCTTATCTGTGAAGGTTTCAGATTATTTTAATGCTAGATGTGCATTAGTACTCCTAGAAGGTCACTTAACAAGTTATGCTGGGTTGTCAGCATATATTTACTCCGGGTCATCCATTGTTATGCATTGTTACAGGTGCTCTGCAGTCTTTAAATAACCCAGAACAATTAATGTCTGAAGGAGCTTGTAATATTACAAGGAATATGATTGTTGCTAATGATAATAACTCTTGTATACAATGTGTATGTGGAACAGCACACTGGGCTTGTGATCCTGTGGTCCCGGGTTCGATCCCAGTCGCCTGCGAGAAACAATGGGCAGAGTTTCTTTCACCCTATGCCCCTGTTACCTAGCAGTAAAATAGGTACCTGGGTGTTAGTCTGCTGTCACGGGCTGCTTCCTAGGGGTGGAGGCCTGATCGAGGACCGGGCCGCGGGGACACTAAAGCCCCGAAATCATCTCAAGATAACCTGAAGAGATAACCCATTCTGTGTTGGAGGTGGAGAGAATGACTTTGTAGGTCGATTGGCCAATAAGGCTTGCAGGAAAACAGCACAGACTATGATTATCGACCATCTAATGCAGTTATTACAAATTAACGAGATTAATTCAGGTTTAGAAGAACTAAGAAATGCTCAAAGACCTGAAAGCTGCAGTATTAAAAGCCATGACGACTTTTGTATAATTGGTATTTATATGGATAGCAAAGTAACCTGACCAGGCAATGTGATGTGGCAAAGTAACCTGCCCAGGCAATGTGATGTAGCAAAGTAACCTGACCAGGCAATGTGATGTGGCAAAGTAACCTGACCAGGCCATGTGATGTAGCAAAGTAACCTGACCAGGCAATGTGATGTGGCAAAGTAACCTGACCAGGCAATGTGATGTAGCAAAGTAACCTGACCAGGCAATGTGATGTGGCAAAGTAACCTGACCAGGCAATGTGATGTGGCAAAGTAACCTGACCAGGCAATGTGATGTGGCAAAGTAACCTGACCAGGCAATGTGATGTAGCAAAGTAACCTGACCAGGCAATGTGATGTAGCAAAGTAACCTGACCAGGCAATGTGATGTGGCAAAGTAACCTGACCAGGCCATGTGATGTAGCAAAGTAACCTGACCAGGCAATGTGATGTGGCAAAGTAACCTGACCAGGCAATGTGATGTAGCAAAGTAACCTGACCAGGCAATGTGATGTAGCAAAGTAACCTGACCAGGCAATGTGATGTAGTCGTTTCTTGAATTGGCCTTGGCTAAAGGTTAGTGAGGCTGAGCCACTACCAGAATATTCGCCCTGTAAACTCTGTGACACCCTGTAAGCTCCGTGACAGCCTGTAAACTGTGACAGCCTGTAAACTCTGTTACAGCCTGTAAACTCTGTGACAGCCTGTAAACTCTGTGACAGCCAGTAAACTCTGTGACAGCCAGTAAACTCGCTGATTTAATGTGAATGCACATTAAATCATTCACTTGAACACTACATTATTGAATGGGAAACTGTAAAAAGATTTTAGACCTCCTGGCCAAGTGTGAAATGAATTATGTAACAATTTGATTGAATCTGGACTATTGGAAGACATTCTAACCATTTACCCTAAATTTGTATAACCATTTTTAAAGATTGAAGAACGAGAATTTTATTTATTATTATTTTTCTTTCGTTACCTGCATCTCTTACGAATCCATCCGTGTCTGGTGTATGGCTGCATTTCAAATTCGTAAATTGAAACATGTATAATATCTGATGAAGTAGATTGCAACCTCAATTTAGACCTATTGTAAACAAATCCACAAGGGCCGTGACGAGGATTCGAACCTGCGTCCGGGAGCAACCCAGACACTGCCTTAATCGACTGAGCTACGACAGGGTTAAAGGGGTTGTTCATTTGATGCATCACGTTAGTGTGATCTCTGTGTGTGATAGACCTATTGTGTTGTTGTGATTCTCTGCCATGTGCGTGGCAGTGAGTGCAAGCAACATTGAGTGCAAGCAACAGTGAGTGCAAGCACTGTAATAAGTGGGTTAGAGAAAACAGTGGTTAAATTTAACTCGATACACGACTTTTAAATATCAATGAGATAAGATATGCAAAGAACAAAATTGTTGCATTAAAGTACAAAGTGGTTGAAAGGCGGAGCCAGGAGTTGACGCTCGACTCTGCACGACATCTAAGGCGATTACATGCATGGGAGAGAACAAATGCAAAATGTATTAACACAAATTATTCATTACTTTTGGGAATGCTGGCCACATTTTTCATCTTTTGTGAACCACGTGAATATTATTAACCCATGGTCTTTGTTATTGTTCAGGGGCCAGATTCACGAAAGCACTTACGCAAGCACTTACGAACTTGTACATCTTTCTCAATCTTTGGCGGCTTTGTTTACAATTATTAAACAGTTAATGAGCTCGGAAGCACCAGGAAGCTGTTTATAACAACAACAACAGTTGATTGGTAAGTTTTCATGCTTGTAAACTGTTTAATAAATGTAACCAAAGCCGTCAAAAATTGAGGAAAGATGGACACGTTCGTAAGTACTTGCGTAAGTGGTTTCGTGAATCTGGCCCCAGGCTCTTGGGACTCCGACCCAACCTCACACACAGCAAACTGTATCAACTAACCTTAAACAATGGAGAATCACCACCAATTTGTCTCCTTACCTGTGCATGCAGACGCAGATTATCTTGTTCAATTTTGAGTGCTGACTTCTTAGGTGTGACTGACGCGGTTACTGGTGGTCCAGGTCCTGCCGCAGTTACTGGTGGTCCAGGTCCTGCCGCAGTTGCTGGTGGTCCAGGTCCTGCCGCAGTTGCTGGTGGTCCAGGTCTTGCCGCAGTTACAGGTGTTCCAGGTCCTGCCGCAGTTACTGGTGGTCCAGGTCCTGCCGCAGTTACAGGTGTTCCAGGTCCTGCCGCAGTTACTGGTGGTCCAGGTCCTGCCGCAGTTACTGGTGGTCCAGGTCCTGCCGCAGTTACTGGTGGTCCAGGTCCTGCCGCAGTTACTCGTGGTGCAGGTCCTGCCGCAGTTACTGGTGGTCCAGGTCTTGCCGCAGTTACTGGTGGTGCAGGTCCTGCCGCAGTTACTGGTCCTGACACAGGCTCCGTCAGCCTCGACTTCGGTGCAACACCGGTGTTCGTCTGTACTGGTAAAACTTTGTTTCTGTCTTTGGTAAACGTGTTAGATAAGTTGATGTCCAATAGCGCCACTGATGGTTTCTCCAGCCATGGCATCCTCGCGGCCCATATGGAAGCTGTTGTCTGCTCTTTGACGCTACCCAGCAGGAGAAGTTTGATACTTGAAATACACATGTCTAGTTGGCAGTCATTTTTGGGTCCTGTGAGCCATCTTACCCAGCCAGTGCTCACACGTATCCTTTGCTGATGCTTGAGATCTTCAAGGAGGTGGAAAAGACTTCTTCTGATGTCCATACTTGACACGTTCTTCAGGATTAAGTAATAGTTGTGGTTTTGGCTCGAGCTCTCCTCTGTGATTCCAAGCGTTAACTTTGGGCTCCAGTTTCTTAAGAATTCTGTACTTATGTCGATACTTGTGGACCACTGGGAGAGCTCTGCTACGATCCTCTCCAGTGGGTCGAGCAGCATCAGTTGGAATATATACCACCGGCCATGAATTTCGTTCTCCTGTTTCCAGGGAATGATATCTTGTGTCGACGATAACCACAATGTGTCAGGTGAGGCCTCTTTCTTGACAGTTTGGGCAGAGAATGTTTGGGGCGTGGAAGTGGTGTCATTAACTCTCTGGTATTCTGTGGCAGACGATGGGGCTCCATTGGCCGAACAGCCTGTGTGGAAAATAAAATCTGGCTAACAATTAAATTGTTTGTTTAATTATTAAGGTAAAGCGGTCAGTTTAAAGTGGCAAAATGAAAGAATATCAAGTTTACTCACGTTGGTCGTAAGACTGGAAGAGGTCGGGTGATAGTGAGAAAGGCTCATCATGTTCTGTGTCATGATCAGGTGGTTCTGTCTTGATGACATTCTTCTGCTCATGTTCACCGTCCATTTGATCTACTGATTGGTTAACGTGTTCTGATCGTGTAGAACAGATCTGTTGAGGTGCTGGGCGTGCTACCACTTCGTCCTCAATGCTGCATAGCAACAATTCATCTTCTGTCAAGGCTAGAGAAACGTTTAAAAATATAGTTTCTGAGGTCTCTGCCCATGGTATCTTAGTGAGTCTTACTGAGGACCTAATTTGGTCGTTACCTTCTCCAAGGAGCAGTACTGCCAGTTCCGTCTTGGTCAAGTTGAACTGCAAGTCTTCGTTCTCTCCCGTCAGCGATCTTAACCAACCAGTGGTAATTTCTACCTTGAACTCTGTCTGCAAGTCTTGAAGAAGTCTAAGAAAACTTTCTCTGGGAGCTTTGTGTGACACGTTCTTCAGTGCCAGATAAGAGAAGTTGCCCTTGTTTGTGCTTTGTACTGTAGTCCCCAGCATTAAACTTGGGTTCCAATCCTTCAATGAATCTTCACTAAGGTCGACATTATAACACCACTGGGAGAGTTTTGCCGTGATTGGCTGCAGGCGGGTGTGGATCCTCACCTCTATCACATACCACCGGCCGTGTATTTGGCATCCATTCTTACCCGTAGGGACTGGTTCCTCCGCCCACAGTGACCACATGATGGTGAGAGGGACAACTTGTGTGTAATATTGTGGGACTGAGGATGTGGCGCCAACACTGTACCTTGAATAAGGACGAGCTAGCATCAGACTCTGTTATCAGTAACTATACGCTCTCTGTGTTATCTACGTTAATGATTTAGGACAGTTAGATTAGCATTTGAGACAGACATTTAAAATAACAAGCTGGAACCGGTTGGGATTTGTTTAGAGTAGTCTCAGGATCATTTACAAAAAAAGCCTAAAAAAAAATAATCCAGTTCCTGGTTTTCTGCCGTTTTGAAAAAGATGTCGGCCATATTGGATTTTTGTAAGTGTTTATGAATGAGGTGCTACAGGCGAACTAATTGACATGGTAGATTGATTCTTATTTTTTAAATGGTTTTAAGAGAACGCGCTTTAATAGTAATATAATATTCTTCACAATGTTTTAATCTGTTAACCCATTTTTATGGTTTGAAAAATATTTTTGCTACATTATCTGCTCAAAACGTTACCTTTTTCTTCAATAAAATGTCAATGATGATTTTGAAAGTCTTTGAATAAAAGTTGTAAAGCATAAAAACTACTACAGAAATTATATACATTTATATATTATTTAAGTATAGTAATACAGCTAAGAAGTAGAAACATGGCAACTTGTACTCACGAAAAGTTTGCAACAATATATTTATGACACATAATCTGTAACTTTTTCAAATAATACGGTGTATATATTGATGCTCTTACACATTAACTTGGGACGTTGATGTCGTGAAGCTGTGAAATGTATTCGCTAGTAACATCAATGTCTATTTTCTTGGGAAGTGTACAAGTTGACTGGTCAGTGTATGTGATCATATACACATTCATCAGTCACCACGGAACTAAGTTATCATAGTCACACTCATCAGTCACCACGGAACTAAGTTATCATATACACACTCATCAGTCACCACGGAACTAAGTTATCATAGTCACACTCATCAGTCACCACGGAACTAAGTTATCATATACACACTCATCAGTCACCACGGAACTAAGTTATCATAGTCACACTCATCAGTCACCACGGAACTAAGTTATCATAGTCACACTCATCAGTCACCACGGAACTAAGTTATCATAGTCACACTCATCAGTCACCACGGAACTATCACTACACCCTGAACACTGCCCACACACACACACCACAGCATCCGAACACACCCATGACACTCTGAGACATGGAAACTTCAGCAATCGTCTGTAACATTCATCTCAAATGATCATTTTTAAACGTCCTCTCCGTAAGCGCTCAGCATCTTTTCTGCTGGAGTGTCCAGCAGAAAAGATGCTGAGCGCCTTCATGTCCATCAAAAACATGTCTTCATGTCCTTCATGTCCATCAAAAACATGTCTTCATGTCCTTCATGTCCATCAAAAACATCGTGGCATCTTTCGTAGCGTTGCAAAGGTGTAGACAACGTATTGCTCGCATACTTTTCTGTGGGTGGCTGGACGTGGCCATACAACTGTGCCAAAGGTGTCCACCATGTCAAAGGGGGGGAACCTGACGGCTGAATGGACAACGCTCGGGATTCGTAGTCCTAAGGCTCCGGGTTCTATCCCCGGCGGAGGCGGAAACAAAAGTGCAGTTTCTTTCACTCTGATGTCCCTGTTCACCTAGCAATAAATAGGTACCCGAGTGTTAGACAGCTGCCACGAGCTGCTTCCTGGGGGATGTGTAACAAATAGGATGCCCGGTCGAGGAGGACCGGGCCGCGGGGACGCTGAGCCCCGAAATCATCTCAAGATAACCATCAATTGCACATGTTGCACTGAGGGGAATGGACGCTTCACTTCATGGAAATGTATCCAGAAGATGAAGTAGAGATGACTTCGTACCCTATCCGATTGACGTACCATCAGAGAGTGATGGTTGATGTTATCTTGAGGTTATCTTGAGATGATTTCGGGGCTTTTAGTGTCCCCGCGGCCCGGTCCTCGACCAGGCCTCCACCCCCAGGAAGCAGTCCGTGACAGCTGACTAACACCCAGGTACCTATTTTACTGCTAGGTAACAGGGGCATAGGGTGAAAGAAACTCTGCCCATTGTTTCTCGCCGGCGCCTGGGATCGAACCCAGGACCACAGGATCACAAGTCCAGCGTGCTGTCCGCTCGGCCGACCGGCTCCCATAATGAGAAGCCAGTTCGTACGCTAAACTCTTTGCCACTCCCTCAAAGGATAAAGTTTACCCGAGGGATAAACTCCTTCGTTACATGCAGACGAGGAGTCACGATAACGTGGCTAAAGTATGTTGACCAGACCACACACTAGAAGGTGAAGGGACGACGAAGACGTTTCGGTCCATCCTGGACCATTCTCAAGTCGATCGTTTCTCAAGAAGCGTCGTCGTCGTCCCTTCACTTTTTAGTGTGTGGTCTGGTCAACTCCTTCCTTACACCGCACAGTGCTTAGCATTCTGTGAAGAAGCTGGTTTGAGTTAATCACAAAGTGTTCACTGTTCAGCCTTACATCCTTGCTCAGGGCAAACAAAGACTTTGCCTTGTCCTTGCACCAGTAGTGGATCTTACTCAGTTAAAACAAATTAAAATAAATTAAATTAAATTAAATTGACAAAATCTGAAATTAAAACAAATCACAGTAAAAAAATTAAAGATCTTCGTCTCCTCATACCTCGAGATTGTAGAAGGTTCCTTACAAGGTACCAGTGTTGGAGTTGGGCTCCTTACAAGGCACCAGTGTTGGAGTTGGGCTCCTTACAAGGCACCAGTGTTGAAGTTGTACTCATTACAAGGCACCAGTGTTGGAGTTGTACTCATTACAAGGCACCAGTGTTGGAGTTGGGTTCCTTACAAGGCACCAGTGTTGGAGTTGGGTTCCTTACAAGGCACCAGTGTTGGAGTTGGGCTCCTTACAAGGCACCAGTGTTGGAGTTGTACTCATTACAAGGTACCAGTGTTGGAGTTGGGCTCCTTACAAGGCACCAGTGTTGGAGTTGGGCTCCTTACAAGGCACCAGTGTTGGAGTTGTACTCATTACAAGGCACCAGTGTTGGAGTTGGACTCCTTACAAGGCACCAGTGTTGGAGTTGGGCTCCTTACAAGGCACCAGTGTTGGAGTTGGGCTCCTTACAAGGCACCAGTGTTGGAGTTGTACTCATTACAAGGCACCAGTGTTGGAGTTGGACTCCTTACAAGGCACCAGTGTTGGAGTTGGGCTCCTTACAAGGCACCAGTGTTGGAGTTGTACTCCTTACAAGGCACCAGTGTTGGAGTTGTACTCCTTACAAGGCACCAGTGTTGGAGTTGGACTCCTTACAAGGCACCAGTGTTGGAGTTGGGCTCCTTACAAGGTACCAGTGTTGGAGTTGGGCTCCTTACAAGGCACCAGTGTTGGAGTTGTACTCATTACAAGGTACCAGTGTTGGAGTTGTACTCCTTACAAGGCACCAGTGTTGGAGTTGTACTCCTTACAAGGTACCAGTGTTGGAGTTGTACTCCTTACAAGGTACCAGTGTTGGAGTTGTACTCATTACAAGGTACCAGTGTTGGAGTTGTACTCATTACAAGGTACCAGTGTTGGAGAAAGTCTGTTAAGAGGAAGGGTCATTAAAAGTGTCAATTTTAAACTGTAGATTAACATTTATTTAATAATTACCAATGTTAACATGAGTGTGTTTACTCTAAACAAAGAAAATATTACCTTTGTTTTATTATTTGTTAAGTTTTTGTTTACCATATTTGCAAGAAATTATTATTTGTCATTTCTTTGGTATCATTGTATAGTTAAATTATTATTTTTTGTTTATCAACAAAACTAAGAGTCATGAATGAGTTTTAATTTGTAATTGGTCAACCAATTGTAAATTATATATATTTGTAGTTAGATGCATTTAAATGAAATATAATATTATATTTTATATTTAAATATTATATATTATATTTAAATATTATATTTTATATTTTACATTTAAAAAATTTCAAATTATGAAAATATTTTCTTAGGCGTATGTAAAGCCTGTTTAAGTATTTTTGTGAAATTTTCATGAAAATCCCATGAAAAGTAACGGAAATATATATATATCAAATCTCTGATAAAATCTCAAAACCGCTATTTTGAGATTTGAATTAATTTTTAGTGATTAATCTTGAACAAATATCTATTTATTTATTTTTATTTATTTATTTATTTATTTATTTATTTATTTATTTATTTATATACGAGAAGGTACATTTGGTTTATGAGTACAGAGACTTGAAATTTGACTTCTAGTTAGCTCTGCACGAAACGCTTTGCGTAATAGTGGCTTTAGGCATTGTATGTACTAGCTCTTATCTATAAATCCATCAATGTTTGTATCACACCATGTATGTATGTACTTTACCTGAATAAACATTTGAATTTTTTTTTTAAATTTAACGAGAGTCAATTATGTAGCGTACTTTGCATATACTAATTCCCATTGACATGTATATCCGTAATCTGCCATTACTTGATATATTCATAGCAAATTATAACAGATAATTAAATACACGTGGGTTTGCTTACAAACACTGTTTGTAAACAGATAAAGTAGAACAATAACACCGAAGAACAGTTCGTTTTCTGTGACAGTTTAAGCGATAACTTCATTAAACCATCAATGATGACGACGTTTGGACAATATTAACATGATGATGGAAATTCTTTCGTCTTATTAAACCAGAATGTGAAGACTAAGAGTGTGTGAAGGTCAAGATACCCAGTAACTGCTCCTGGGTATAGGTCATCAGATGACTGACTGGGCACATCACAGCATCACATTACGTATCTTTAAAACTAGCACACGTTCACGCTTAACTGTATTTCTGACCTCAGAAACAGGTTTAGGAACTTACATGCAGTTAGTGGACTAATGTTCAAAGCGAAAATGGCTTCAAATGGTTGATAGAGGACATATTTTCCGCGTTCATACGTCACAGGGTATATGACTACGCAGCCGACGCCATCTACTGAAAGCACGGAGTGGAAGCAGCCTGCCTGCGTCACAGCCGGCGCTCTGTTGTTCCATCCTGCACTCATAAAGTGCCGTGTTGTGTCGCGTTACGAATGCATCTGGTATACATTTAGTTTACTTGTGTATTTTGTTGTATCTTGGCTACAATTAAAGCTCATACGCGGCTGCAGAAAGGTTTTGAGAGGGATGGTCCCAGACCGTCGCTTGCATTGCATCTTGGGCTGTGTTGGCAGTGCACGATAAGTCCTCACACCTCGTTTTTGTTGACAGAAAATGTTCAAACGACAATGCTAGAGTTGCCAGTGTGTTTACGAGGATATAATAATTAAGTTCATTACCCAACGATAATTAAGCTCTTTTCTCAAGAAATATTACAAACATAGATAGGCATTAATAGATAGGATAGTTATTGGGAAGGAATTAAAGTTTTTTTTTTAGTTTAGTCATTTTATCTTTTTTTTCTCTCTTGATATGCACTCCAAGCCATTCCGTGTACGGTGGTAGAATGTGTATATAAATATATATATAAACTCAGTTACTAGTCTTGCTCCACACCCACCCAACTGGGCGGCAGGTTTACAGTCATGTGCTCCACACCCACCCAACTGGGCGGCCGGTTTACAGTCAAGTGCTCCACACCCACCCAACTGGGCGGCAGGTTTACAGTCATGTGCAGGCTGCACCTACAGTAAACACACCTTGGATGCTTGGCTAAGATTCCTGGCAGTACATCGTTATGAATGAAGTACTTACACATATCTTCATCACAATTGACAGATTTACCTCCGAATTTTTCTCATTCAGTTACATACATAGTGTGTATACATACACACACATATACATCAGTTCTAAAGCACTTCGAGGTTTACCATAACAATATTAAGCTGGAGTCGAGTACGACCTCACAATGCTACGAAGTTCGTAAATTGTTTAATAGATACAGACTAGGTCGTCGTCATTAAGGAAAGATGTATGGACCTCGTAAGTGGACACGTAAGTGCTTGTTGAATCCTGGTTATAGGGAAGACTATAATTGGTAAAAACAGGATAAAAACCGTCCCAATTCCTACGATACAGCCAAGTTTCCTGTCTCTACAGGGTAAGGAAAATCAGCATGTATTTGTTGACCCAACCACACATACGGACGTTTCGCTCCCTCCTGGACCATTAACTAGTCGATTGTGGTCTAAGAACCAACCCGTTCTCGCAAATTTAATAAGTCAATATTGACTTATTAAATATGTGCATAGGTGACATACTTAACATAATAGTTTCCCTTGAAAAGCTTCATAGAAATCACCGACCTTGCCTAACCTACTTAGTATGTTAAGATAAGCATCTTATTGCTTCGTAATTGCAATTATTACCTAACCTATACCTATAATAGGTTCAGTAACAATTGTAATTACGAAGCTATAAGATGCTTATTTTAACATACTAAGTAGGTTAGGCAAGGTCGGTGTTTTCTGTGAAGCTTTTCAAGGGAAACTATTATGTTTAGTATGTCACCAATGCACGCAACTAAAAAGTCAATATTGACTTATTAAATTTGCGAGAACGGGTTGCAAGAACGGACCGAAACGTCGTCGTCTCTTCAATTTTTAGTGTGTCTTTTGGTCAACATTATTCAGCCACGTTCCAGCCAAGCCAAGTTTCAGTTTCAGCCAAGGAGCCGGTCGGCCGAGCGGGCAGCACACTGGACTTGTGATCCTGTGGTCCTGGGTTCGATTCCAGGGGCCGGCGAGAAACAATGGGCAGAGTTTCTTTCACCCTATGCTCCTGTTACCTAGCAGTAAAATAGGTACCTGGGTGTTAGTCAGCTGTCACGGGCTGCTTCCTGGGGGTGGAGGCCTGGTCGAGGACCGGGCCGCGGGGACACTAAGCCCCGAAATCATCTCAAGATAACCTCAAGATAACCACCAGGAGAGGTCATAAGCCAGAATCTGTAGTTTTAGCGTATTTACAAAAAATTAGTTTCTGACGGAATTTTCCTTTGCTGTTGGTCTTGACGTCTTTTTAGTATAGATAAGAAAGTCGATAGCGCGTTGTTCTTCTTGATAACAATATATGAGTTTTGGTGTTTTAATAAATCAAAATCTACGGAACTAAGATATTTATTCAAGGAATTTTTCGAACATTCAAAGTTCTGATATTATTTTAGACTTTAGGCATTACTGAGTACGTGACAAGGCTGCTATATAATCCCCCAAGCCTATTAGTGAACACACAGAACTGATAAATAACTTGAGTAAAAGACACGCGATTCTAAATGAACAAATCCACAAGGGCCGTGACGAGGACTCGAACCTGCGTCCGAACCCTGTTTTTAACCCTGTCGTAGCTCAGTCGATTAAGGCAGTGTCTGGGATGCTCCCGGACGCAGGTTCGAATCCTCGTCACGGTCCTTGTGGATTTGTTCATTTGATGCATCACGTTAGTGTGATCTGTGTGTGTGTGTGTGTGTGTGTGTGTGTGTGTGTGTGTGTGTGTGTGTGTGTGTGTGTGTGACGCGATTCTAAAGCTGCCCCGAAACTTTTTTTTTTTTTTTTTTTTTTTTTTTTTTTTTTTTTTTTTATTAACATATTAGGTACATCTGCATTAGTGCAGCTGCCCTAGACTATATGAAGTGGAGTACAGTGTGTCAAAAAAGCTAACTAGGTGATGCTAAAAAATCCCCATCACACAGGATGGTTAGTCATACAGAGGCATGTGATAAGCGGTCAGCACTGGCAGACTCCGGATGCATTTTGAGGATATCAACACCACAAGATTGAATAAGGTAGCAGTGGTAATACAAGTCCCCATCACACAGGATGGTTAGTCATACAGAGGCATGTGATAAGCGGTCAGCACTGGCAGACTCCGGATGCATTTTGAGGATATCAACAACACAAGATTGAATAAGGTAGCAGTGGTAATACAAGTCCCCATCTCGCAGGATGGTTAGTCATACAGGGCCATGTGTTTAATAGCCTGCACTGGCAAATTTTGGGTACACTGTGAGGATATCTTCAAGAATACGAGAGTGAATAAAGTAATTGCAAAGCTCCAGGTACCTCATGCCAACTGGTCTGAAAGGTCTAATAACTGGGCATTCAGTGATGTAGTGCGGGAGATCATGCCGTAGAAACTAGCAGCCTCACCATTTCACAAATCTGAGGGCTGTGCCAGCCGGCTACCTATCAAATCCTCAGATTAGGCAAAATTGTAATTAATTTTGTCAATAAAGATGTTAATAATAAATAGCCGGCTATCACTACTGTCCATTTATTTTATCTGATGGGGGGAGGTTCTGATAAGTACCCCCGTACGACACATCTGAATTTCAGTCAGTTATATTTTGTGAATCAGCAGAGGTGCTGAGGCACACATTACAGACAAGGTTAATGTCGTTCTGTAGTCCAGGACAGTTAATGATGGCCAGACGCAGGTACTCCATCACCTGTGTTGAGGATGATTGACAGCTGAGAGGCGGGACCAAAGAGCCGAAGCTTAACCCCCGGCAAGCACAACTAGGCGAGTACTGGAGAACAGTTGTCATAGGAGAAAGAAGCAGCATCCTTACAATTACCAGAAAACATTTGCATCAATGGACTATGTATTCTATTCAGAATTTAAGGCCAAATATCTCGGATTTTTAATGGATTTTCATAATGGTAATTTTGACGTTTTCATTATATAGAAACTGTGTTTCTTTGCCAAGTTGAGCTTCAATATATCCCTTTATTACAGTATTGTTTATATAGAAACTGTGTTTCTTTGCCAAGATGAGCTTCAATATATCACTTTATTACAGTATTGTTGATAATGTTGCTTTGGGATATACTCAATGATTCCTTCAAATCTTTTTACTTAGCAGCAAATATTTAGAAATATCAGGACTATTACCTTTATTCTTTTTGCTAGTTTTGTGCCCCTTGCTGTTTACGTGGGTAAATAGCCAACGATAGGGATTACCGGTAGGTAGGAGATTAATTTTATGTTGGTCAAAACGACATACCGCCAAATCCTGCTTCAGTATAAATTGGTCTGGGTAGGTTTCTTTAATCCATTCATAAATGGCTTTCACTGCATCCTTCTTTTCCAGCTTGCTCAAGTTTACATTGTGTGTTGTGTCAGAAAGGTGGCGTTGCAGATCTGGAAATTTTTGCTCAAGGCTTCCTGTTTGAACGGTTTCATGGCAAACACTACATTGCACAGTGAGTGGATTGCTTGAGGTTACGGGGAAAGCCACATGTAGGCCGGTGTCTGTATAGTGTCTTTGTTGTAGATTTCTTAAAAGCTTTTCCTCCTCGCTTGAATCCACTCGAGTGTTAATGTCGGCATTCTGAGCGTTAATGTCGGCATTCTGAGCGTTAATGTCGGCATTCTGAGCGTTAATGTCGGCATTCACAGCATTATGCTGTGCTCCTGAACAGGTTAATGAAGCAGAGTTATGGACCGTACTACCTTGGTCGGTCTGTGGCATTTGGTCGTCACCTTGATGGGCCTGACAGAATTGAACTTCATCTTTAATAGATTGTAATACATGTAATTGATCAGGCTGTAACTGCTGACTGGACTGTGAACTTTGCGTATGGTTATGTCTCGGCTGTGACACGTTGGTGCAAAATTGACTATTTTGCCTGGATTGCGTCACTTGATCACTGAATTGGCTCTGCCTTGTCGTTTGGGATCCATTTTCGCCGACTTGTGATATAGGAGTACGGAATGTACTGTGCTGTGAACTTTGGCTGGCACCTTGACTCAACTGCAATGTTTGGGCATAATTTTGAGAGGATGTGGAAGCTTGGACACTGGCCGGGAGTGTTGGGGTTGAGGTGTGTGGGGTGAGTAAGGTGTCGTGGTTGGTGGCGCGACCTTTGGCTGGGCTGGCTGGGGGAGTGAGAATGGGGTACTGGCTGACGGAGCGACCACTGGCTGTGGCTGGCGGGGTGAGCAGCAGCGGCGGCTCATCTGAAACATAACCAGGTCACAGTGAAGGTTGTATGGATCATCAGTACTCATCTTAATCCTCTTGTTATTATTGTCATTGAAGATGAAATTGGTGAGAAACAACATATGTTAAATGGGGCAAAATATTGAGAAAAGACAACATATTTGTTTCACGCTCAGACATATTCATAAATTTGATTGAGAAAGCTTGTGAGTGATGTGTTTCTACACACATAAAGTTCCCAGACCCGCCATGTAAAAAACATGCGGGTGGGAACTCCTTATCTTTTAAATAGGTGCGCAGTTTAGGGGTTAATTGTTTGGCAAATGTTTCACGTTGCTTCATCTTTATCTTGGCTGCGACTCTTTGTTCTCCTTGTGAGTTTGACCCTCAGGGTAGACAAAACATTTAATTACCAGCAGGAGAAAAACCTTCACCCAAATTAGACATATGGTAAATAAAATATATATATATATATATATAATATAAGAAAACTCTTAATTTTGTAAGCTCTAACAATCGTGTTTACGATATAGTATCTATTATATAACATTCATAGTATGTTTTTTTTCAAATCACAGGCGAGATTATATATATATATATATATATATATATATATATATATATATATATATATATATATATATATATATATCGTACCTAGTAGCCAGAACGCACTTCTCAGCCTACTATGCAAGGCCCAATTTGCCTAATAAGCCAAGTTTTCATGAATTGTTTTTCGACTACCTAACCTAACCTAACCTAACTTTTTCGGCTACCTAACCTAACCTAACCTATAAAGATAGGTTAGGTTAGGTTAGGTAGGGTTGGTTAGGTTCGGTCATATATCTACGTTAATTTTAACTCCAATAAAACAAAATTGACTTCACATAATGAAATGGGTAGCTTTATCATTAAGTCATAAGAAAAAAATTATAGAAAATATGTTAATTCAGGAAAACTTGGCTTATTAGGCAAATCGGGCCTTGCATAGTAGGCCGAGAAGTGCATTCTGGCTACTAGGTACGACATATATATATATATATATATATATATATATATATATATATATATATATATATATATATATATATATATATATATATATATATATATACACACACACACACACACACACACACACACACACACACACACACACACACACACACACACACACACTGACCTTTAGTGTTTAATGCGTTTAATGCAACGCCACACATGTTGCAGTAGTTAAAGTTGCTAGGCAGTTGACAGTCGCAGGAAGAGCAGTTCACGCGTTCAGACAAGTCCTCCCCCACACCACCCTGACACGTTTTCTGTGAAGGCATCATCCGTCTCAATCGAGAATAATGTTATAATTTAAAATAATTATACAATTAATAATATATTTGGTGGTTTAGGATGTTTGCTTGATTAGAAGGCTTGCTTAGTATGCTTGGTTGTGTAGTGTGGTTTGCTTGTCGGCTTTCATTAGTACAAAGGCATTTAGATCAACTATTAAATGCCTTCGTGAGACCAGTCCTAGTGTGTGGCGCCTCATCGTGAAGTTTTCATCTCACAAAACAGGTCAGAAAGCTGGAAAAGGTTCAGGGATTTGCAACGAGGCTCGTACCGGAATTGTGAGGGATGGACTATGAAAAAAATAGCAGGAGGAACTTGACCTGAGAGAGAGAAAATGAGATAGAGAATGAGAGAGAGACAATGAGAGAGACACAATGAGAGAATGAGAGTGAGAGAGTGAGAGAGAGTGAGAGAGTGAGAGAGAGTGAGAGAGTGAGAGTGAGAGAGTGAGTGAGAGTGAGAGAGAGAGAGAGTGAGAGTGTGAGAGAGAGAGTGAGAGTGTGAGAGAGAGAGTGAGAGAGAGAGTGAGAGTGAGAGAGAGAGTGAGAGAGAGAGTGAGAGTGAGAGAGAGTGAGAGTGAGAGAGAGTGAGAGTGAGAGAGAGTGAGAGTGAGAGAGAGTGAGAGTGAGAGAGAGTGTGAGAGAGAGTGAGAGAGTGAGAGAGAGTGAGAGTGAGAGAGAGTGAGAGAGAGTGAGAGTGAGAGAGAGAGAGAGTGAGAGAGAGTGAGAGAGAGAGTGAGTGTGTGAGAGTGAGAGAGGATAGGGATTTATATCATTGACAGTGGGAAGAAGAGTAAGTTTGAGAAATATAAGAGTTATAGACATGTTAAAAAAAAGGTAACGAGTGGAGTACCTCAAGGATCGACACTACAGCCCATCGTGTTCCTCATAGCTGTAAACGACCTCATAAAGGGAACAAAAATTTAATATATCAATGTTTGCTGACGATGCTGAACTCAGGAGGATTGTCTTAACAGAAAACCTGGACAAAGATATTTTCCAAGCATAAATAAAATCTGTGTGAAACTTATTATTGAACATGCTGCCCTTGCATGGTACCTGTGTACAACCTATGTGAGACCCATTATTGAGAATGCAGCACTGGCATGGTACCTCTATATACAGCCTATGTGAGATCCATTATTGAGTATGCAGCCCTTGCATGATAACAATGAATACAAATATATGCAACAATACTCATTCCTAACTTAGGAGACTGATGAAGAAAAGCAGTGGGATCTCACCACATTGAAAGAAAGAAGTGGGTAAACATGATAGCGACATACAAGATTCCAAGGTAAATTTACCAAGTAAACAGGTTAAGTAATGCTCAAAGTGAGGATTAGTAGTAAGATTGTAACTTAACTACAAACTCAAGATATAAACAATTCAGATGTCAGAAGGAACTTCTTCACTGTACGAATTTTTGCCCGAAACGCTATGCGTGCTAGTGGCTTTACAAGAATGTAAAATCAACTCAATTTCTATGTTCTCTGTTAATCCCCCAATGTACCTTCTTGCATATAAATAAGTAAATAAACAAGTTGTAAGTAAATGGAATGGATTTTAGACGAGAACATTGCTGATGCTAAATCAGCATGCAGAATTACACGAAAATATGATAAGGAAGGTAAGTTTAATTATATTGAACTACTGATGATTTTATGATTGACAGTCTGGGGGCTTAGGAACAGACGCTCAACCCAGGAAGCATATCTTGACCAGTATACAACACTCCCTCCTCCCCCCTCCCCCTCAATCTTCCTACCCTCCTGAGACCAGAACACACTGAACACAACAGTATATACTTGGTGGTGAACAACTTAGTTCCTGAACCACACCCCATACTTGAACAACCTAATCGGGTTCAGTACCTGGTTCCAGACCTGAATATCCTAGCTGGTTCCAGTGCCTATTCCATGCCTTTAAATCTAACATATAACTCCCAATAATGCCAAATTAATTTTGGGTAAAGTATCTAAACTGTATTTTTTAGAACTTGTAAAGTGTGTGAAATTTGGCAAATTGGAGAATCATTAGTGTTGTTAATGCTCCAGTTCTTAGATATACTTCCTTGCGAATGTTCTTAAAAGATATACAGCTCTCAAAATAATAACTCTTGACAGACACGTGAAACATATCTACTAACTTCGAGCCTTGTCGAACCACTCTGTGCTGGTTCATTCGTCGTGATAGGCAGCTGCGTAGTCCCCCGTTGCATTTCTTGCGTCTGCGTCTCATTTGCGTCTGCGTCTCTCGCCATTGCTGGTTGTTTAGGTCCTGGAGCAGACTGCGTCAACTCCTCCCATGGTGCAGTTCTCTTCCTCTTCTGTGATGGTAAGACTGGAAATTCTTCATCAGTTGCTGTATACAGGACTTCATCCAGTAGTAAGGTCGCTTGATTCTCCTGCCAAGGCTCCTTCATGGGTCTTACTAAGGCCATATTCTGCTCTTTGATTGTATTCATCAGGAGAGTTTTCAGGCTTAAAGTAGACATGCGCAGCTGATAATTGTTCTTATTTCCCGTTAGCCATTTTATCCAACCATAAGTCAAACTTATCCTTTCTTGATCCCATAGTCTTCCCAGGAGGTTAAAGAGACCACCTCGAGTATTAAAATTCGATACATTCTTCAGGATCAGATAATAATAAGGGTTTTGATTCGACCTCTCCTCGGTAGTTCCAAACGTTAACTTTGGATTCCAGTTTCTTAAGAATTCTGTGCTACAATCTGAATTCCTAGACCATTGTGAGAGTTCTGCTACGATCGTTTCCGGCTGGTCATGGACCAGCATCTGTAATATATACCATCTACCATGAATTTCGCAGCCATTTTGACTTTTGGGAATCACATGCCGTGTGTCCGATGACCACAATGTGGCCGGTAAGACTTCTTCAGCGGTAGAGTGAACCTCAAGTTCTTTGCTCGAGGTTGTAGCAGCATCATCAACAGCGGCCCTAAAATGAGAAGATCATCACTCACTCACCATCACACTCACTCACCATCACACTCTGCCCCCACTTAATACG